GGGGCGTAATGCGTTGCATCCAAATCAGAAATGCCAAAGAAAGGGGAATGCTCTGACTGTCTATCTGCTGGGATGCTGCATCCCTTTCCTACGGGGTTAACCCACCTCCTAAAGTACCCATATTGTCGCAAAACATCTGAAGATTGTAGAAAAAAGAAAAGAAACATTAAGAGTCGTCACATCATTTAGAAGCCATACCATCATCATCATCATCATCATCATCATCATCATCATCATCATCATCATCATCATCATCATCATCATCATCATTATCATCATCATTATCATCACCAAGTTGAGTACAGAAAAAAGTAAGACACACAGAAACTAGTGCAGAAAAGTTGTGTTTTTTAAAAGTAGGACCTGCCAGTGGCGCCCTACAATCATCTGCTGTCATCACCATTACAACAACACCATCACCACCACCACTACCAACAACAACAACAACAGCAACAACAACAACAAGAAAAATTACAGCATCACCAACAATGTTTTAAAAAAATAATTAATTGGTCCGGCGTCTGTGGCGTAGTGATTAGACAGTTCGCCGTCGCACACAGAAGTCATTCATTCAATTCCATGGTTGAGAGATTTGCTTGTTGTTTTTCAATTAAATATTTCTGTCTGTCTGCTGGGATGCTGTATCCCTTTCCTACGGTGTTAACCAACCTCCTAAAGTACCTAAATCGTCGCAAAATATCGGAAGACTGCAGAAAAAAATAAACAATAAGAGTACATGTAGGCCTAGTCGTATTTTCTCCTGTGTTGAGCCATACACCGTAGACTTCATAACTCTACAGTTTAACGTTACACAAAGGCCAGCACATGTTACATCACATCTCATAGCGCTCCAGAGTTTATTCCAACCTATTGGGGCTGACCACAGAGCTGTTTAACTTTAGTTTGTACAAATTTAATGGGAAGATCATAGATCGTTGAGTTGTTTTGTTCATACAAACATTTTGGGAAGATCATAGACCACAGAGCTATTTAGTTTTTACAAACTTTACGGGAAGATCATGGACCATAGATTTGTCTGGTTTGTACAATTTTTTAGGGAGACTATAAGCCATAGCGTAGTTTAGTTTGTACAAAGATTTAGAAGTTGACCATAGAGTTGTTTTGCTTTTATGAACATTTTGGGGAGACCATAGACGACACAGTTTTTTAGTTTGTACAAACATTTTGGGACTGACCACGGAGTTGTTTAGTATGTACCAACCTTTTGGGGCTGACCAGTATAGCGAGCCGGGCTGCCCCAAGCACCACGATAGTCCAGCTGATGGACAACTTGAAAAAAATGATGGCCATGCTCCATACTCTGAGGACGTCACAGACAGAGCAGATGACGTCACTATGGGGGGGAGTTGGTTTGTTTTAGTACGCTTTTTACGGCACTTGCAATACAAGTAGAGCATGGCGTGCTGACAAAATGAATTACTTCTCGCAATCCACGAATGGAGAATGTTTAGATTTTCAACTGATGCGATTTTCTTCAATGAGTAAATAATTTGTCTCTAGGCCGCACTTAGCGCACCTATGTAGGCTGTTTGAATAGTTACTTTCATTCTTTGTGTGGATACATTCAATTTTTAAAAACAGTTGCGACATTCCCTGTTTGATTAATAACATTCACTCTTTGAATAGCTCTATTAAATTTTACCGTTTTGACTACCTACATTCATTATCTGGATGATATCCACTATTTGAATAAATATATTTTATATTAAACAATTGTAGAAACCAAAACGATAAACTTGGTCTCTATCTGTTTCCATGGTGCTAAAATCCGAGAAATAACTCATTGTGCCAGAACGCCTCACATATTAAAAGGCCGAAGATTAGAGATCTTACAAGAAAGTAACCAACGCAACAAACAAGGATGGTAGATATCGGGATGACAATATTATCTATTATCCATTTGTGGTGACCGAATTTTGCTACTCAAAAGGCTTTTTAATGGCTGCATCGATCGACATGCGGTTTTCGCCAAAGATTCTTTATAATATTCTCCAGATCATGACGCCCTTCATTTTTTTCAATTTTGAGTCAGTTTTGCTGCAGAAAGCTAAATTTCTTTATTTCGTCGATCGCTTTTGTAGGCCGACGCTTTTGTCTCTGTAATTTTAGAAAATTCGCCAAGTTTGTTTATTTCAAGTCGTACTTCCGTTCGACACTATCACGCACTGCCGCGCAATACTGAGCACTATTTTAAGTGTGCGGCCCGTAGATCTATCGATCGAGCTTCATGTTTTCTTTTTTTTTACTTGGTGCTAAATTCGACTGTGACCCTTTCGCTTGATGCTCATCATCGCTATTTCTGGACTCCTTTGTCAAATTCTTTTTCTTGCTACTGGGAACAATCAACACGCTTCTAGTCTCAATCCGTTCATCGAACGGGGGCCCAGCTAGTATAATATATTGGATAGGAAAGAAGAAGCAAACCCCACCAGAGCACCCGCCAACCACCAATAAAGAGGATTTGATGACGTCTCGTCTCGAGCAGTAGATGAGGTCACCAAAATACTCACCAATAGAGTAGATAGAGTCATCAATAGAGAAACAGATTAGGATACAGAGTCACCAATATAGAAACAGATGAGGCCATATAGTCGCCAATATAGATCTAGAAACAGATGACGCCAAATAGTCGCCAATATAGATCTTGAAAAAGATGACGCCAGATTGTCACCAATATAGAAACAGATGACGCCAGATTGTCACCAATATAGAAACAGATGACGCCATATAGTCGCCAATATAGAAACAAATGAGGCCACCAACATAAGCAATGACCAACAGAATATATTAAGTAGCCAAAAAAAAAACAAAAAAAAACGGTTGACGCCGTAAATTATAGAGGAGAAGATGACATCACTTACAGAGTATGCAGAGCAAATGATATCACCAACAAAGCAAAAGACGTCACATACATAGCAGCTGAAGTAACCGACATTATAGACATGATAGGATAAACGTGTAAGTCACTTTAGCCATGTTGAGAAAACGAGAGGGGAAAAACTGTTTCTTTCGAATAATTGTCAGTAAGAAAAACTTGAATTTTGGTGCTCTCAATATTATTTTATATTTGTATTATTATAATTTGGTCCAAATTTCACACACACATATAACAAGCATAGTAACGAGTCTCAAAATCTACAATCAAATTTGAGAAAAAAGTTTGTTTCCATAGATACGGCGGCCATAGGGGATGTTGTTGACATGTCTTGCGTAACGAACACCGCACTTATTTTTCATGGAAATTGATTGGGGTTTTGGGAGTTTTTTTGCAAGCATGTTAACAAACATTACATCTACAAATCTGTCAGTTGACTTTTTCCTAAACGAATTAGAAACATTTAAATACATTTTTTCCTGAGGTAGGTTTCATGTTTGCAAAAAATCCGTGAAAATCTACACCCCACACACCACCAACAAAAATCTCCATATATCACAAATTCAGATGTTTAGTATTACATCTTCTCTTCATTCCCTGAAAATTTCATGAAGATTTGGTGAAACGTGGTGGAGTTATTCAAAGACGTATAGAGAAAAAATCGCGTTTTGAGAAAACGGGTGATAAAGAAAAATACAATATTTACTTTATGAGGAAATGGTGGGGACAAACGTGCCTGGTATGGCAAGAAATAAGCTTTTGGGTTTTTTTTATGTGATGAAATATTTGTAGGAGTGGCTGAGGAGGCTAAAAATGCCTACAATTTAAAATCCATAATTTTGAGCTGAAACTAGACTTTCGGGGTATGCTCCCCTCCCCCCCCAAAAAAAACAACAACAACAACAACAAAACTCCAATTATATTATGAGCGTAACGATATTTTCTTCAGACTTCGAGTGGTGGTAGGTTATACACAAGGGTCTGAGAATTGAGAGTTGGAGGAGGGCGGCTGATGTGATCTAAAAAAACCCAAATAGGTCAGGGGGAAGGGAGGCAAGGAAGGGGGGGGGGTAAAGAAAGAGGGCATTGAATTATGAATGCAAAAGTCACAGAAACGGGCAAATAAAGGGATAATATGACGCATTTCATGAGCCATTTCAATCAATAAAAAAAACAGGAACTCTTTCTCACGTTGGAAATCAAGACGAACAAAAAAGATTAGAAGAACGACAAAAAGGAAAGCAGCAAACGAACAAATAAACAAACTCAGCAAGACAAGTCAATAAATAACTCTTCTTAAGATCCTGCCATAAACTCCTTTTCCCATTCGAAAACGAAGCGAAAGAAAAAGTTACAAATATGCGAAACAAACAAACAACAAACGAATCAAATAAACAAACAAAACAAATCAAATCAATAACACTCCTTAGGATCTCACCCTACACACAGCTAGTAAAACAAACAAACAAAAAAACATTCAACACACCACCAGCCAAACAAATAAACAAACATTCAACACACCACCAGCCAAACAAATAAACAAACATTCAACACACCACTAGCCAAACAAATAAACAAACATTCAACACACCACCAGCCAAACAAACAAACAAACATCCGACCCGCCACCAACCAACCAAACAAACAAACAAACAACAAACAATGCCGCACTGACGTACCGACAAGTCATGGGAGACGAGAGGAGATCCCATCCTATCAGTCTTTGGAGTTCTCGAGGGACGATCTTGGTGGTGAGGGTGAGGATGTTGAGGACTGAGATAATGACCAGGAACAGAGACACAAAGTTGTCTCTCAGAGCTCTGGAGTTAAGCAGGATGGCCATCAGAAGTATGTTACTGACCACACCTGGATGATGGAGAAAGAGTGGGAGGAGAGAGAGAGAGAGAGAGAGAGAGAGAGAGAGAGAGAGAGAGAGAGAGAAAGAGAGAGAAAGAGAGAGAGAGAAGATGTTGAGGATATAGATGAAGACCAGGAACAGAG